TAGGTCACACCATATAGAAAAACACCTCAGTGACTATGAAGATTTCTAAGCTTTAACATGTGCCCCGTCTAATTATGGATGACGCATTAGATGCCACACGAACAAGCTAGACCAATGTAGAACCTGTTGCCGGGTCCAGAGGTGGTAAGACACACCGACTTGATGGATAAGGTCGGTGACAAAAATGAGCATTTTCCGCGCAGCTTGGTGTCACAAATGCTCTTGGCAGAAAACTATAGTGACGGCCTGGGCAAAATAATGCATAAAATACGAATACGCTGCTAAACCTAACATGAGGCATCCATGATATGCCTCCATGGTAATTAATTTCGTCGCACAACACAAGCACACCTCTGTGTAAAAACGTTTTGCATTTCCCTGCGGCACCATATGATCTTTTTATGTTTCATTTTAATCCGGCGACAGAAATATCCTTTAATTTTGAGTTGGTCGCTTGGCTCGGTGACAGAACGGCAACAAAGCAGTACATTTCCTATGGCTAGGCCGGTGCGTCGATTCATTGTTTTTACCAGCAGACTCTCAGCGTCACGAACTAGACAGTGTTAAGTATTGAAAAATGTGTAGATCTAAGTTTTCATCTGGCCGCAGGGGTATGTTTCAATTTGCGACGCGACAGAACTGATATGAGGGGGGTAGTGGTTTTTAATGCACCACAACTTTGCGCGCGGCATTTGCATTGTAGTCCCATAAACACCTGCTATAGGGTTTAATTTTTGGGTCTTGTCTACTTCGTGTCGCGATCCAGCACATTGTCCTCAGCGACGAGAGTCATTGACAGTTCAGGGTAAGTCGGTGAGACCATCCGATCGAGGTAGAAATTGGTCTGTGATTATGCGGACCGCTTTTTCAAGACACAGGGCTATGGACTCATTGCAGCAGTCACAAGCGACCAGGGATGGATCCAGAACTTTGTCAAGGGGGCCACGCAACAATGTGGCCCCCTAGAGTTTGGGCCCGCCCAAAATGTCACCGCCTTCCGGCGCTTTAATTTGGAAACACATAGTTCATGATATATATATATATATATATAAACACACACATATATATATAAACATATATATATAAACATATATATATATACGTATATATATATATATATATATATATATATATAATATATATATATATATATATATATATATAATTCATCTTACTTGCAACATACTTCACAGAAAAACGGTTGCATCATCAGGCAAAAAAACCCCACAGATGTTCAATGTAGGCCACTACGGTTTAAAACACACACAGAAAAACTAAAAAAAAACACATGTACATGCCATGACACACGACGAATCCCCAATTCTGCATACATATACAAGTGTATCACAGTTTCTAATGGAGATGATGACGTCATAATCTTTAGCGCTAGACGCGTTTCCAAAATAAATTAGTACTTTTAAATTCTTAAATCAAGCGAGGAATACGTCATGACCAAGATTCAAAAATTGTAAGCTAAAACTGTGATGCCACAGGTAAATGAACGCTCTCGTAAAGGGGAGGGATCAGGTTTTGCAAGAAATTTTCCCGTCTGGATAGATTTACCTAAATGCTGCTGAGTGCGACAGTACAAGCTCCGAAGGGTGGATCCCGTGTAGGATGCCTCACACGAGGCACACCTGACGTCGTATACAACAGTCGATTTACAGCGTTAAGGTAATCTTTATGTTTGAAGAAGGAATCTACTGATAAAGAATTCCCGAGAACAATCCTTGGATCTAGATGAAGATATAATTATGACAGGAGGTTGATTAACACACGTTTGAGGCTTTCAAAATACAAGCCAAAGTACGGCAGAACAAAATACTTTTTCAGCTTCCGGGCATCAAAAGGCCTGGACGAGGAAAGATACCTAGGAGCCTACCAATCGAGAACGTCCCAATTAATAAATGAATGCTACTTAAGGGAAAACTGTCGTTCTCGAAATGCCTCTCTGAACATTCGATTTCAGCGTGGAAGATTTGATAAGTAGAGTTGAGATTGTGTGCCCTAAAGATGGCCGTCTATATTGAAATAAGCTTGAATGATTGCGGAACAAAACTGCCGTCCGCCCGCGGCCTAGCTGGGCGCCAGCTGGGAACATGTTGGTAGAATATTAGGGTATCGATGTGGCCCAGGCAGGCGCTGGGCTCCAGTTGTGACCTGCCTAGGATACTGGCGTGGCCTGGACAGGTGCTGGGCTGCAGCTGGAACCTTGCCTGGTCCTATCTGGTAGACGCGCTGTGTATCAGCTGGGCACCAGTCCGTGTCAAGGTTAGATATGCACTGCATCGTAGTAATGGCTGGCAATTGCTGCCATATACTAGGGTGGACTGTCATGTTCCGAGGCCTTTGGGCGCTTTTCCTCCCCATGCTGTCCTCAATGGCCTGGTCACATGGTCGGAGCACGATTGCTCTCATTCAGCGTATCATGTTTAAAGTAGTACACATCAGCACTTGCAATCCACAACTGACCCACTTCCCGACGGGGGCCAAAATCGCAGCCGTGCACGCTAAAGAGCACCCAGTAATTATGGTGGAGGCTCATGTAGACTCATGCCCCACGTGCAGACGGCGGAGGGGGCTTCTAAGGCCAACCAGATGTGGCAGTCGTAAGACTGTCATTCGCCAACATTGACATTTTCACGCTACCGCTGTTGTCAGGACCACGGTAGTCTCGTTTTGACGCATCATTTCGAGGGTATGGCATCATCACCTGGGGTCCGTTCGGCGAACTGGATCAGGAGCGGCTGGAACGAGTTCAGTGATAAGCTACGCGTCTTGTCCGAAAGCTAAGTCGCCGGCCTTATCCTGAGAGGCTCAGACTCCTTCAACTACCTTTGCTGTACTACCGACGTCGCAAGGGAGACATGAGTGCAGTGCTCCATATTCCAGATGTTCCACGGAAGCGCGTCTTTGCCAGTTGGCGAGTTCCTGACAGAACACGTCTCGGGAGTGACATCATGATACCAATGTAAGCTGAGAAGCCCTCAAGCTAGGACCTTCGTCCGTCGGAACTCAATCAACTCCTGCGTCGTAAATGATTGGAGCGCTCTTCCACCGGCAAACAGAGGTTAAAAGGAGCGTACGCCCGTGTCCTATAACACACAAATGGTCTAGTCTGTCTATTCAACCGTCGCCCTGATTTGCCTTTTTCAGAACGCGAATTGATGGAGGGGGGGGGGGGGGAGGGGTGATGCGAACCACACCCCCTGGTGTTTCCGAACTAATAAAGATAGAGCTCAGCGAAAAACGCTGGTAGATTGATGTCAGCTAGATTTCGCGATTGATACTAGCTTTCATGTTGTTAGTTCAATGTAGACCCCACTACAGCAGTCCAATGTAGAATTTTCTAGAAAATCGCACCTCTCATCTTTAGATTATACCTGCGAGACCACAGGATAGGGATAGGGATACGAAATTTCAACAGGCGTGTTCCTTGTTTAATTGAGTACAATGGTCCATACCCGTATGTTTTTTAGTAGACGTGTATGATATATGGCCCCATTACTGTAACAATACCAGCGGGCTGCGTACTCCACGGCATCAGCCGTTGTCGCCCGCCGCCAGTGCCAGCCGTAGACCGCCGTGCAGTGTTCCTGAAAAAACTGCCACTGCTCCGAAGCCAGAAAAGCGAGGAATATGTTTCCGGTTTCAAAGCAAGCGCAATGGATGCTTCATAGGCTACCGAAAATTTGGGCGCGATTGCAAAACATACCATAGAGGCATTCTCAATAAAACCTTAGGGGAGTTGATCATCCCCTATCGGGACGCGGGGAAGCATGATTTGTAGCCAGAAAACGAAGGCAAACTTCAAATGTGCGGCTTGTTAATTTTACATTCAAGTAAAATGACAAACATGGAATAATGATTTTTTGATGACAAACACCTTCTCAAAATAACGAAAATTGCATTATTTGCATAAATCAAAACACCATTTAATCACATATGATATAGCTTCCTTTTCATGGAACACCAACTCAATGTACCTAGTGGAATTTTTCCAAGCAATCATATGACAAACATGTCAGCAATATCCTAAACCTAAAGACATCCCAAGCCTTGCACCAAAATGAAGAGGGTCCTGTCCCCAATTTAGGGTTCTGTTTTACCTAACATGTTACGCCATATGATCTATCACAAACCTGAGATCACTTGGAACACATGTACAACATTTCCCAAAGCTTGAATGCGAAAATGCTCCCTAACTAAGCATGCTTAGCTTACTTTTCAGGGCATTTTCGAGGGCATTTCAAATATGCAGATTTGAATATGGCATATATCTATACGTGTATACATGCATTATTTAAATGCAATGCGATTTAAAACACCACTAGGTTTGTGGTTTCAGTTTTTCCGTATTGACAAAAGATGGCAAAGATGTCAATGGGATGTATCAGCCAGCATGAATCTTGCCCCAAAAGCAACACTCTCCTGCTCCATTTGTAATATTACTTGTCAGGTATGCGTGCTCTGAAGATGAGAATCTCACTGGACTTTGAACAGTCTGCGTTGATGTGTTGGGTTTATCCCCAAAAGTTACATCAACCAATCCCACGATGGAATTTTGCTCAGGTGCTGGCGGAACACAATCTTTTGGAATAATGCAAGTTTTCAGTGCCTTTTTCAGAAATAGAATAAACAAGTTGCAAAATGATGTTATCACCATACTGAGAGCTGCTCCTTAAATTCTTCTATGAGCTGTGTATTTCATGAAGCTGAACATCTTCAAATAGTAAAAGAATAAATGTTGAGAGTCTAGGTATTCAGTCACATGCTCCGTTCACCGTCTTACACAACTATGCAAAATTTGGTATGCCCTATATACATGCGTAGACCAAGGTATATAGGTAAATAGCTCCAACTCACAACTCACACTACTCACCCATCGAATGTAGCATCCAAATATATCTACACTTACCAGCTCCTCACAATCCCTTTCGCGAAGCAGTTGCCGTGACACAAGTGATTGACTATGCTCAATGCCGTAACGGCAAATTTAAGGCAAACTGCGCCACCCTGTCAACAACGAAGCTATGCACAAGGATAACAGTGATGTCATTAGATTCTAAATCACCATCACTGCACCATAAGTTTTTCCAGTGACTTATACTACAATTATATCAATTAAAAGGAGTGTTCTATATTTGGATGGGGTTTTCGACTGAAACATCCATCTTGACGACCGTTCGCTGCTGTTCACAGCCCCACCCTTCTCAACACCTAAATCCTAGTTTCTGAGCCATACTCCCGCGAAGATGGGGAGAATATTTCGGGGAGTATTTCAAAGTCAGCCTGGCACTCGTGACGTCATAATAACGTCATTCAAAGCTTGCTGTTCCATAAGTCATGCGGCGATGAAGGCCAATAAAAATATGGTGGTCGAGTCGTTCATATCTGGTGTCCATGAGCGCGATTTCCAGATATAACGGCGGTCAGTTGGATCTCAATCAATGCTGTGGAGGGTACGATGACGTAATCAAACAATGGCGTATCGATCAGTATATTTACTTAACAGAGAAATCGTGTTGTCTAGAGCAGTCCTTTCTACTTTAAAGTATACTAGTAGTTTTAAGTGATCTTGTTTCATCGTATCTGATGTTTGCTCCATTATTTTCAAATGCGAAGCATTCTCTTTCATTGAATTACTCCTTTGTCTCCTCAACTTAAAAAAGTTGGCGCGCATACTGAGCTTGCCGTTTACACTGACGCCATGTAAGGCCCATATGACAAGCTTACATCTTCAGTGAGAGGTCAAATCTTTCACGCTGATAAGATAGCGCAGTAACGGCGAGGATCATATTGATAACTGAGCTGAACCAACCGTACAGAAATTAAGAGACACTGGAGTGTACCCACAGCATTTTTACTCACAGGGTAGTGCTGAAGAAGGTCTAGGCCACTTAAACATGTTTCCCTCTTTCAGTGTAACGTAAATATGTATAATCTGCTCAAAGGCATCACAATCGACATTTCGTGAAAGAAAAGGTTTATCAGAATTTCGGATAATGAGAGCGTTTTAGTCTCCTTTCAGGAAGTACAGGCATTGATGAGAGTCTCCTATGCCCCCGGGCGAGTGGGCGCCTTTTTTACCTCTGCCGTCAATGCCATCATCCTCCGCAGCTGACCATTCTAAAACTAGGCTTGATTCGCACTGGGCCGGCATCATGCACGACACCCAACACTGACCACATCGTCAAAGTGGGATCGTTCGGTTAACTGAACGGGATAACAAGACAGGGATCCACAGGTCCTGAATTCCTGATCGTCACGATTGGGTAATGTAGGTAATTCGCCAAGTTATCATTTCGAGCTTGTTGGGGGAACTGTTAACGTAAACGCAATGTTTTTGGATCCACGGTTCAAATAGAATTTCTGAATTCACCCGATCTTGCCGCATGTTGCCAACGAGTCTCTTAGCAGGCATGCAGTCAGCCTGCCTGGATGTTTGTACGGCTCAACACATTTTAATTCGGTTTCCCAGCTGCGCACGACGCACATTAGAAAAGCCGCGCGCGACAACACCTACAGTACTCACCCGTAGGATTGCACTTGTGGCGCGGCCGCTGGCAAATGCTGCGTCAGAATCTGAACAGTACTGGGAAACCCGTCCGAGCCCGGTCAGACCTCACTCCTATTCTGCAGCGGCGTTCGCGAAAACGTACTACATGCCAGCTGGGCACAAGCTTGGTTCTACCTGGGCGGTAACGTAGTTTAAGCCATTTTATACAAGAGACTGGATACTGACAGGCCGGGCAGCGCCTCTATAAGATCTGCTCAGCCAAAGCCCCGATAAATTGTTGGCTGGGGGTAGAGGTGGGGCTCAGAGTATTGGTAAGGTGGGGTGGGGAGACAGGTTTCACAAAGGACCCTCTCCTTGTCAAAGGCCTCCTCCTCACAAAAAATCACCGGAAATCACCCACTTGATTTTGATGGGTACGATTATCTTCATTTCATTTTACTACGTACCCTCTTTTAATGAAAAAGAAGCCTATAGGCATCGAACGATCCAATTCTGTTTGCACTTTGAAGTCGATAAATTGCAAGAACCTGACACTAAATGATTGCATGGAGTAGCCCACCCCGGCTATTTGTTTTGCACTGGTTCAGTCAACTTTTTGCATCTGACAACACCCAGGGCTTCCTCGGGACTTTTCTGGGCTGTACAGAGCTTTGCGAACGTAGACGAGAGTGAACCTAGATTGTAGATCGAAATGGGGTCATAGCGTTGTACTGAAATGGTCACCCATGCTCGCCTGGGAGTGTTCAACCTTTGTTCAGAATTAATTAGCATACAAATTACGTTACTAATTTAACTATGCGCGTTCGCGAGTCTTCGAACAAAAACTACGACATCCGACGTTGCAGTCTCCGTAAGTCGCTCGGCGCCGGCCCGCGGCTAACATCAGACGGTGGCCAGCGGCGGGTAAACAAGGTAATGTCTCTGGGAGAAGTACCTTAAAGCGTTTTAATATGCCAATTCGCACTTTTAGAAGGCTGTAGCACTGTGGAACTGTGGAACGTGAGCCCACCCCTGATGACGGCCGCCGCGGCGCCGCCGCTGGTCCGGATGGTTCCGCCGCCATAACGCCAAATCCTGGCTGTGGGTCGCACTCCCAGTCAGTGCGATGTCGAGGACGCGTGTGACGCCGACAGCACTGAGGTGCTCGATATACTGGGCGATCATGACTACCGGTCGGTGCTGTCCTTCATGGTCGCCAGTGACGTTTGCATTATCGTCGTGTTCGTCGTCCGAAGGGCACTGAACAGGGTAATCTGCGCAACCTGCCAAGAAGCACTGGTGAGCCGTCAGGAGTCCAACAACCCCATATCTTATGTCGCCGTCTGTGGCTGGAAGACCGCGGTGGGCTGATGGGTTCCTCCGCAGGAGCAGTCCAGAGGTGTTCCTGAGTTCTGAGGAGAAGCTTCGTCGCTTTATTGTGCAATTGGACGTGGGTTAACATGCAGTACACTGGCAGATAGTAGAGAGCATGGTCTTGTGCCGCATCGGTACCGATGACGTGTGAGATTCCGGCCGCCATCCGCTGGAAACTCACTACGGTTTGGGAAACCATTACACCGAGCTAACCAGGAGTCTAATGACCAGCTGCCGACCTACCGACGGGTGTGTTTTCATCACCAGGTGAAGCTGCACGACGCACGCCTGAAGAGAAACGGGATCCGCAAAAATAATTAAAGCAGTGCTTTTTAGAGGACGTTAGGCCAGTTCTTAGCACCAATATTCTGTTGCAATTTGTCCGGTGGTGTAACTAGCAGATACTATTTTGTACAATTATCACGCCTCTCCGATCGGCGGGTTCGTCCGTCCAATTCCCTGCTCTCTGTATAGGCTTCTGTTGTACGCAAATGCTATGCATTTTTTCTTGGAGGACGTTTGGGGCACCCCATAACGGCCCGACCGCCGACTCGCTCGTACCTGGGAGCATGCGACTCTCTCATCCTCTCTCTCTTGCTTCATCCTGCATCCTCACGACGCCCCGCTTGCCCGGGGCGGGCTACATACGCCACCTACGAGTGGGCCGAGAGGCTCCCTGGCGGGGGGAGAGGGACTGCCCAGGCGTCCAGAGCATACCCCGCATAAGGTCCCTGCGTGAGCTAAGCTCGGCGGTTGACCTCCAGGCGCAGGGTTAGTCCTGCCCCAACGTTATCCAGTCTCCTTCATCCCATAACCCTGAAAGGATCAATGCTGGTCGAAAGGGCTCTAATCCAAATACCAAATAACCTTGCACCTTTGAGCTAGTCAGGCGTCGTGAAGGGACCGTAAGGGCTACCTGTTGAACGACGATAGATTCGCTGGAGATATGCGAGCGGGCGAGTGATGAATATGTTGAATTAAGGAGCGTTGCCGCATTATGAAATAGATGCAACACGGATATCATGGCGTTGTGAGGTGATAAACATGTGCGTTATACTGCATCATGACGTTGTAATAGTTGAAACGTAGCTTTGTGTCATCGGAAGCATTATTCCTGTTATGACGGTGATAGTTATTGTTCTGTAAGTAACTAGCCGACCTTAAGTGCTCATAAACATCGCTTCAGTTTATTAAAAACTGGCCGATCAGTCCTTGACCAGGCCGGGTGCCTGATCGTACGGGTGCCTACCCTACACATATAAGTCCATGAACTGTGTTTCTCTTGTACAGCAGTGTACTTACCACAGCCGGAAGCGTGCTGATGCCCGAAGGTGATGCCCGAAGCACCGCTCGCTTACAGCCCTAAGCTCATCGATGTAGGCTGGTATTCATGAGATATTTGTGGTGCTCACCAAGGCTTCTCTTGTATGTTGCCATCACATCGTTCATTACACACGGACTCTACGCGGCAGGTAATTCGATTTTCGGCATCCTTGCGGGACGGTCTAGGCCACGCACTTGCCGTCAGGCCCACAGATGGCATTTGTGTCCACGAAAGGGCTTTTCTGACTGCGGTCTGATTTGGGTTAGAGCCTTTTCGGCCAGTGGTGACCATCTGAGGACTATGTGATGGGAGGAAGTGGAAAATAGTGTGGCCAAGCCACATGCACCTGAGTGTCCTCTGCTGAGACTCAGCCCACCCAGGGACCCCTTTAAGGGGCATTTGCGCGGCACTTGGACGTGGCCCCACCAGGAGGCATTTCAGTCCAATCCTGGCTGCTACGTGTAGGTTGTCCCGAATAAACGGGGCGTCACGAGGATGAAGCGAGAGAGGAATGAAGCGAGAATAAGGAAAGAAGGATGGATGAAATCTCGATTCCTCGGACGCGGTGCATTAGTTGACTGGTCTGGCGACATGAAGTGAGACCGAGGCCCGGACCCAAAGGTCTGTTATAAAAAAGTCGACCTCAAGGCAGACGATCCGCTGCAGGTGCTGATTGCCACAGGGTTAATCCCGTGGCAATGTGATTATTTTACCGAAGCCAGGCTTGAACTACGGACCTCCCACTGACACTGGCACTCGCCTTAACCAACTGCAACACCGTGTTCATATGAGCTATTTGGGCTGGTCCGATGTCAAACGCACGCGTCCCTTCTCTCGGCCGGCGGAACGGTACCCCTCAGCTGGCCGGGCTTCTGGTGTTTCTCGCGCCACCAGCGTCTGACGGGAGCGAGGTGTACATTGGTTTGGCCTGGCCAACAGGTGGCAGCACGGGCTGTGTGATCTGATGACGATGTGATCATCTCCATGACCTTTCCGGTGCCCACTGACTCATCGTGACGCCACGGGGATCCGAACGCGTTTATCGAAGACAGCTGAACGTGTCTATCGGCGTCGGGCTGTGCCGCCGTCTCCTAAAGCCGTCACGAATCGCACGCCCCTGTCACCTTAATGTTTGCACACGTAGGCCTGCTGACAAATTTTGTGGTTTTGGTGCCAAGGACCACTTTCCACATACACAGCCAACCATGAACAACAGCGCATTAATGTTTTCTGGTCATTCAATTACAGCCAGGTTTCAAAACACGTACGAGCATGGGCTGCATGCTCTGTCTTGTTTCCAGGTCCCGTTCATTGGTGGTACATTTATTATTTGACAGAAATGGTCGTGAGATGCAAAATGGAATCAAAACATTAACTCGCTTGACCGAAAGAAATGCATGGACTAGCCTCACATTTCATCGATTGCACAATAACTCCTCCAAGAATTGGGGAGAGCAGCGAAAGCGGAATCTATTATTCATCGCAGTCACGCGTTGTAGAGTACCATCATTAGCAAATCTGCTGGTGGACGGCCCAGAGCCCAGGCGCCGCGATCTCCGACACAGAGGAAATGTCGTCAACACAGTCAAGATATGCCGGCCGCTGAGGTCTTCAACTACTTAGCTGCCATCGTCGGTCATCCTCACATATTTAACGACCCAGCAGCAGCTCCTACAGACGAATCACATCACCAGATATTTGGAGATACGAGGCAAGTCAAGAATCGTTATAACAAAACAAAGCACATCATCATTCGCCTCGACCAAGTGAACGCGCCGGGAGGTGTTCCGTCAAATAGCATTACCAGGCGTCCGCGCAAGAACGTACACCACTAGTCACCGAGACAAACAAGCGAGACCACCAGCCTTGCTAGCAAATAAATGACATCCCTCTTCACCAGCCGTGCCACGGATGACGTCACCAGCTAACCAGCCACCCCGACAACTGAAACCCCAATTAGCAAAAAAAGCCGCTCTGGCGATCAAATGTCGCTCCCAGCCGCGCTAGCAGTGACTGGCGCAATTCACCAGCCCCGCCGGCAGATGGCGGCACCAGTTGCCCGCTGTGGTCCGGGGATCTGCGAAGCATGGCTGAACTGCGGCGCGGCAGTCCGATCGGGCGGTGCCGAGAGCCGACCAGAAAAAGCCTTTAGCGCACGGCGCTGGCTGACGAAACTGCGCGTGGTTCAATCTAAGGGAGTGTGGGCTTTGAGTCGACCTGCTCGACAGCATCAGGTCTCCACTTGATCAAACATGAGCTCCAGGCCCCTGCTCGATCTGGCGCACGGTGTTGGCTGCTCGGAAAATATGGTGGCGCCAGCTGGTGCCCGGGCGATCTGACAAAAGCCAAACTCAATCCGCGGCCGATCTGACGGCTGGCGCCAAACCCCCAGCTGATCTGACAGACAGCGCCAGACCCCCAGCAGATCTGACAGACGGCGCCAGACCCCCAGCCGATCTGACAGACGGCGCCAGACCCCCAACCGATCTGACAGACGGCGCCAGACCCTCAACAGATCTGACAGATGGCGCCAGGCCCCCAGCCGATCTGACAGACGGCGCCAGAGCCCGGACGGTATGAAGGGCGGCCCTAGGCTCTTGTTTGAGCTGCGGGACGGTGCTTGGACTGTCAGTCGGTCTAACAGACGGCGCCGGAACGTCGCGCTACCTGACAAGCGGCGTCGCTGCTCAGACGATCTGACAGACGGAGCTGCGCGAGTCGTGGCGCGAGGAGGGACAGCAGCTGGCGCTGCTCACCAGGCGCTCCGTGCCGTCGCCGTACTCATGCCCGAGCGCCTGCAGCTCCCGGCTGAGGCCGCTCTCCTTGGCCGAGATGGGCGCCAGCGGCGCTGTCGCGGCGCCTCTCGGCGGCTCGAAGCCGTGGTGCACCGAGGCGCGCGCGGGGCCGGCCGCCGGCGATGGCACCGGCACCGGCACCGGCACCGGCACACTCAGCGTCACGTGACCCCGCACCGGCGGCGACGCGACCGGCGGTGACGGCGCGGCCAGGCAGGGGGCGGCTCGCCGCGGCATCGGACTCGACGGCCGCAGGCTGTGACTGCGCGCCGGCGGCGGCGTCGCCAGGGCGGCGGCCACGGACAGCGGCTGGCTCTGCGCCGAGTGCTGGCGACGCTGCTTGATGTCCAGCACGCGCTCGTCCACTGTTCCCGCGCTTGTGCCTGGAACGAAGAGCGAGCGGCAGGTCGGGGGAGGCCAGTGAAAGTGGTGGGTGGCCGCAGCTCTCAACGGGGGGCTTGGGGGGAGAGAACGTGGCAATCCAAATCGCTTAGCGTGTGAAAAGTTGCAGACTAGGGATACTGGTGACAGGGCTTGACGGTGTGCAGGTAGACGGCACTTATCGAGAAAAGCGAGCGTGCTAGATCCTGCTGTACTTTAGGCAAGACCCTGCTAGAACCGCGTGGATACCAAGTGGCACCTCTTTGGTCTTGGCTCTGTTGGCGCCGGCCCTCGCACCGGAAGATACCGCTTATCACGCTGTCACTTCCCCGGAAACGTAGCCTCCATCAAGAAGCAGTGCATAGGTTGATCCGTGAGAACCATCCAAAACTCGTGTACTGGTATTTGGTGACGGGCTTTGGTGACGGGTTTGGTGACACTTGGATAACTGTCGCTTTTTGCATGTAAGATCGCCCGGCGAGTGTCATGTTTTACGTTTCACTTCGAGATCGCCCGAAGTTGTCTGCAGAATCAACATTTTCATACCTAAGGCCTGCCGTATGGCAGCCAGCGAGCCGCTCAAATTATATGGAGTTGTACAATAAACATAAAGAGTATAAGCGTAACTAGAATGACGAAGACACGCCTCGGCATGATTGCTCAAAATAATTGACGAAATTGTCGAAAATTTTGAAGAACACGTAACCGTGGAAGCAACCCTTTTACACACTGAGGGAGCTATATTTCCGAGACCGATATACATTGATACACCTTACAGTGGGAGGACTCTGATATCAGAAGACAGACAGCCTCTTGGCTCGTTGGATCTTGGACCCTAATTACTTCAGCACTTAGATTGTGTTCAAGGGCTCCGCCAGACATAGAGCGTGAGGAAAGGGAGGAGAGAAAGCAGCCACCATTTTTCTGAACTTAGCATTATGCCTTAACATGTGCGTGTGAGCGTCTCATGTAAAGCCCTTAAAACCCTGACGTCCCCAGTTTTGACCTGTCGCAAGGATCCCAGCTATACTGTTTGGCTATCACTGCAATTAGGACCAAGCCATGGCCGACCGGAATCAAGGCTATGGGTATCGGGGCTTGCGAGGAATAAGTCGGCTTACATTAATGTCCACCGTATCTAAACATTAACCGCGGGATAACACACCATAAGTTGGAATTGATCCGCCTAGAACTTCACCCCAGTGTCCTGGTTATCTCCTCCATTCGAAACCGATATGAATTCAAATCGCATAGCATGTTCACGCTTGTGGCCATCCATCGGAAGCTCCCAGGCGTGGACTCGGACCAGCACGGTCTCGTGTGATTGAGACGGCGGCGATCTCTGGCGTGCCGAGACGCGACAGACGCGGCGCACGGAGGGCCCGGACGGACTCACACGGACATGCGAGCGGCGCGGCGCGGCGCGGCCGGCCAGCCGCCCCGCGAGCTACCAGGGCTCCTCCAACATGCTGAGTGCAGAGGGCGAGTAACCTGCAAGAGGGCCGATGGTCAGGGTGACGGGCCCGTGCAGTCATGCCTGGGGAGGGGGCAGAGCGGCCGACCCAGACATGGGACGCTGCTGCTCCCACGGACGGTGCTCCTCTCACGCGGACACGGAGACCCGGCAGAGAGGTGTGATGCAGAAGACACGCAGGAGCTGTGGCGCGCATGAAGGAAAAGAGCGACGCAAAGGCAAATGCCAATAACTTCCACTCATTATCTGCATTATCTTCTGACGTTGAACAAAAAGCTTGGGAAATGTCCACTTCGAAATAAAAGGCGGGTAGGGGTTGGGTGTTGACGCGAGCGAAGCTCAGACTCAGGAAGCTGTTGACAAATTTTAGCGGCGGTCTATGTCTGGTAAAAAAGAGTGATAACGCGCTACACACAGCCTTTCAAACATAGGGAGGAGCTCCATGGCAGCACACCAGCTGCTAGTGAACGACTGCTGTAGGGACTGATTCGGCGTTTACACAACTATCTCACCGCTTTTGTTGCGTGCATTCGAGTGCTTCCACTCATTATTTACCCCCCCCCCCCCTTCCCAAATCGCAGAGAACTATAAGGTCTTTTTAAGAACCCCACTGAATACATTACCGTATGACCTTGCACGCGGCATTTGGTGCACCAAGCAAATATGGCTGTGAGTGGCGAGTGCTTTGCTGAGCTTAGCACGATAATTCAGGGTGCCAGCTGCAGCGCCCTCTTTAGTGGGTGACTGTCGCGACATCTGTAACATGTTGCGTGCTGAATTGGATGTGGGTGCCGATGCCGTACCTCGTGATGTTGAACATGTTTTTGTTATGTTGGTTGGTGATGGTTGTTTGCTGCAATCTTGCGACTTTGTGAAGGTTTTGTTCGATTGCCACTTTGTGATTTTGTGAATATATTGTTTAGTTGCTCAAAGCAATGGGCTAAGTTGATCGCCTGCAAACGCTAGAATATCTGTTCACAGCATCGTCACTGCGAGGCGCCAGTGAACAGCGCTCGCCAATATTATCGACGCATGAAATTATAATCTTCCATTTATGTGATAAAAGACGGCAAATACTTGACAAAATTTCATTTTGTTAACGTCACAAACACGCTGATGCAGAGCCAGCGCCCAGCCAACTTAGTAAAATTAAGACCTACATATGTATAAGTACTTTCAGAACAGACCGCTGATGCAAAACATGTTTTGGTTCGAAAAACATTTATGCCCTGAGCACGGTTAATTTTAGTTGTGTTTTGTTGATGCGTACCCATTGTCGTTCGCGGTCCAGGTAAGAAGCATCTATTGTACACTGACATGTCTACTGCATATCCCCAGTTTTGGCTGCTCGAAGACTGCCGCGTAAACAACATGCTTATTGTGCGCTTGCGAACCTTAAGTTTGAATAATGCCATGCTCTAGTTTAAGATGCACGCATGCTGCTGTGTACCATGGGCATCGAGGCCGTGAGGTGCACCGAACTGACCCCCTGACACGGACCAGTCACACATCCTCCACTGCGAGACCTCAGCGACTGAGAGCTGCGGAACAAAGTGCAGGCTCCGCTGGCCATCTCGTCCTATCGGGTTCACACCAGGAGTGCGACCAGCGCCGCACTGCCGAGGACGTCTGGGAGTGGAACCGGAGATTCGGCAATGTGTGGAGCCCAGCTGAGACGGTATTTCTGCTACCGTGCGATCTCCGCCGACACACCTTTCGGGTTTCCAGTCTGTGAGCAGCTGCTATTTGGGCAGGTGCATCGAATACGCAGACTCGGCCAAGAGCAAGATGTGCATGGGGTCACCTCAACCCCCCCTCCCCTTCCCTCTCTCTCTACACGCCCGTGGTACAGGCTGCAGAACTTGCTATATGTATTAAGCTGTACACCGGACAATATATTCTGAGTCATACGCTTTGCATGCCTTTGCTTGCATCGCGTGAGTTGTCTTAGAGACGTGAAAGTCTAAAGCAGTACTAGCCAACATACTCGTACAACAAGTTCATACTCAACAGCACATAAAGTTTCTGCCACATGGCAATTAAGTGGGCAATGTCTGATCCGCATATGAGACCTTAACCGCGAGATTCTCGTGCGACAGCTTAAGGAGCACTCGATAGCATCGTTTCCAAACGCAAATATATCTTGTATCGCTTGCCGCCCACGGCTTGGTGTTACCTGCGGCGGCGAACGCCGCCCAACATTTAGTGATTGCAACGCCGGGCGTCGGTGTACAGCGATATTGTGATCGGCTCGCGCGTCATGAATTCAAGTTTAGGGAAGAACTTCCGCTATGCCGTATGCTTTTGGACTCCTGTGTCAAAGAATTGCTATGTCTCACTCGGTTTTGCTGTTGATGACACAACCTCATGAGCATTGTGCCCTTGCGCACCCTAAATTTGTACAACGCATACTACACACCTCTGATGAAAAATATAATCAAAACACTTCCTGATATATCTTAAAGAGCCAGGCGTGCTGATGAATGAGACTGCCAGAGAATTGTAGGGGTATCATGCGTAACTCTGCGAATTCTTTTTAGAAAAGAATGAACTCTACATGACCGGCATTGAGAGGTCATGCAATCGCCTCTTTGTTTGTTCTACTTCTGCCTAGAATTACCCTGCTTCCTCCGAAAACTCCACCAGTTTCTGAAGAAGCCACAAGTCATTCGCCAGGACAGTAGCTGGCACCGATCACGTGACCCATTATTTGTACAGCTGCATACTGGCTGCATACGCTGTCGGATGGACTAACTCCGTACAATTCGCAATATCTGATGTAAAAGCTTGAACACCTCTTAACCAATTATTCTGAACTGATTCCAAGTTAACACCTTTCATAAAGACACGGCCACTTTACACTTCAGAATTACAAGCGTATCGTTGCCCAATCAGACGGCGTGATATGCACTTTCGCCATGACAATAGTCGCCCGACGCCCTCCGCAGCAGCTAGGAAGTCCTGACAGCATGCCTCCCAGCGCATAGGGCGCTCACACTTCCGTTATTACCACTAACTTGCCGCTACCTGCACGCATATTCGGTGCCTATTGACCGCGCAAGAGGCGCGCAGCGAGCGTCTCAGCCTCGCCACTCAGCTCAGCGGACGATCCTGCTAACCCCTCGCCGGCCAGCATGAGATAAAAGTCGACCAGCTTCAAGGCCAGTGTCGCATAAATGTGATATATTTTGCTCAATTTGACAACTATAACGCTTAACAAGAAATAAAAGAAGCTAAAACAGCTGGTAACAAAACGAAAAAGAAGGGATCAAAAGGATTTCACTTAAAAAGCTATGTGCTTTGTCGAATAGCGCGGACGACGATAATAACTTGTTTTCATGGTAAAGAACTCAGCCAATCGTTTGTTTTTATTATTGGCGTCAAATTTTTATTGAAGATAAAGACACGGACATAACGTGAACGGCAGCTGGGTGTGGCGGAGGCAATGATGATCGTGAAGAAAGCCAGCAAGCAGATGTGGTTGTAAGGGCTGTGATGGAAAATGACTTAAACATTTCCAAGTACTTG